GATGAAGGATCGGTCATTCAGGAGCCACAGCTGAGAAATTAATGCTCAGTCATTTTTGGCTATCATGTATACAACAGGATAGTGTCTGAAGCTGACTGTCATCGTGGTTGAGGAAAAGAAAGGACAAGTTGCCAAGGAGGACGTGAAGAAAACAGTGAAGGAGGTGACAACAACCAGCAGCAAAGTCTAGGAAAGCAAGTTGTGCCATTTACTGGTTCAAAGTGATGAAGCAGGTTTGGCTTGACACTGGTGTCTCCTCCAAGGCCATGAGCATCCTGATCTCATTCATTAGCGATATTTATGAATGCATTGTGGGGAGGCTTCCTGCCTGGCCCTCAGAACAAGTGCAGGACCATCAGGTCCTGGGAAATCCAGACCACCATGTGTCCCTGCTGCCCTAGGAGCAAGCTAAGCATGTAGCGGCATCATACTACAAAAAAAAATGAGGGATTAGTTGACTGTTTTTGCTGGCCTTTGATATAAAGAGCTCCTTGTGCCAGATGAAAGCCCCACTACCTGATGGGACTATGACTGTGCGGTTTGAAAACCACTCACATGATAACAGCTGCCTTTCTGACAAATCTATAAATGGCAGAAAGCTATTAGTTTTTAACCAGTAACACCTAGCAGAGTCCGCAGTCTGCTGTCACAGTGACATCAAGAAGACCTGCAGGATAGAATAGTCGTGGAGGAGCTCTCTCTCAATATTCTTGATGAAACTTTGGGCCCTGTCTCTGTTACCAGTAGGAACACATCATAAAGATAGAGAATCGTCAAAAGTACGAGAAACTTCAAATGCTAGTCTAGGAAAAGGACAGATTGCAATTTTAAAAGAGACTGTCTCGAGAAGAACAACCAATTTCCATGGAAGGAAAAAACAGAGTTAACTGAGGAAGGGTCACCAGACCCGAAACGTTAACTCTGTTTTTTCCTTCACAGATGCTGCCAGACCTGCTGAGCTTTTCCAGCAACTTCTGTTTTGTTTCCTGATTTACAGCATCCACAGTTCTTTCATTTTTTAACCAATTTCCATTGGCTGCGACACCTCTGGACCTTCACATAACTAATGGGGCATTCATCTTTCTGTGGACTACTCTTACATTCCATCTGTACTGTCCTTCCCAACCCTGCCTCTTGTTCTTTTTACTTATATGTTAATGCGTGCACATTGTGGATTCTGATTGGATTTTACCGTTTAATAATGTTTATACCTTTAAACTAAACTAATGATAAAGCAAACTATTTACTTGTTAACTCAAGAGGTCTGAATGGCCTGTTTCTTCATAGCTTTACACACAGTGAAATGCATATTGAACTGGGGAAAAAAATCCTTTTACAAGTTCAATCACCTACAACAAGTTTCAGGAGTGAAAAATAATTATTCATCCTGCGAGGTCTGGTTGTAACAGATGTCAGAGCTGAATGGGAAAGGTGGGTACAGTGGAGCAATCGTGGTGAAGAGATGCCATCTTAAGGGAACCAGAGTGTGTGCATGCATTCATGGGCATTTCGTTCAGAGCAAAAGGCTCCAAGAAGCACCCTCTCTCCCTCCACTCACTCCTCACTTCATTTCTGAGCAGCGTACGCTCCATTTCCCTGTCATGTAAGTGACACAAAAACATTCATTGCAACTACTGTCCATAGACCTATTCCAAGTTTTGTATGGGCAGGTCATCAGGTCCTCCCCTGTGAGGATGCAGCAATAACTCCCTGCCAAATACAGGCACTCCTCCACACAATGTTTCCAACTGCAGTGAGCAATAAATCACATTAGCTGCAATTTAGATGACTGGCTTTTTACGGTTTGCTTGTGGGAGGGAGGCAGGGAATCCAGGTTGTAGCTAGATGTATTTTTTTTTAAATGAGTGACCAGCGGATGTGTTCAGTGGACCTGCACAATCCAAATTCAAAATACATGTGGCATCTCACCCAGAGACAACACAATCTGAACAGTTTGCAAGCTTCTGATATATATACATGTGAATTCCCTTCCCATCATGGGACTCCGTGCAGACTGAACAGAAACACAATACATATATCCCACTCAACAAGCCTCTGCCTTTTGCGGTACCTAGTCCAACCAATATTTTCAGCCAGCATTTTAAAATATGTCTCTTTTTATAACTCACTGTTTCCAAAAGTGCTGTAAAAATTGACGCTCAACTGGAGTTAAAAATTTAATTTATACCTTTTCTTTTCTCATTAGTTTATTATTTTTCCCTTAGGATAAATGGAAACAAACGCTTCAGATGTAGGCATCTCTACGTAACCTGATACAAACACAAAGACAGGGGAGTATCAATACGTGCACAGAAAAATGCATACATGCACTTACGAATATATGCATACCTATCCAAACATAAACATACAATGCTTTGACTTCTTGGAGGAGAGGGCTATTTTCTGACTGGACATACGTTAAAAGATAGGAACTGTTTATTCAACAAAGAGGGTGCATTTAGCGAAGTCACGCAAACAATAAAGTGTAGGTGACTGAATAGATGATTACTGGGCAGTAATGAATTTGACTACAAAAACTGATCCAAATTAAATCAAGTAATTGAATGTGAGGTGAATACCATTAGCTGATCACAACTATATTATGTTTACTTGTAAGACAGACATCTTCATGGACTTCGAACTTAAACCACACCAGCAGCCACATTCCTGCACAAAGTAAACATGAACAGTCTATAATTTCCTTTGCAGGAGACACTGGGCTACGCACCAATGCTAACGGCCAGGATTACAGATTCTTTTTAGACTTCATTTATGGAGTTACAGTTATGCAATAGATCATCCAAATCTGATTTGATTTCATTTTTCACTTACGAAACATTTAATCCCATGGGTTTCCTTGGAGACAATTTGACTAAGCTACAGTAGGAAGAAAATGGGTGGGTTGCCACAGCAGATTTGCTGCAGACTTTTTGATGAGCCAGGAGTTTAGTGTCTGGGTGAGGCAGCTAAGATTAAAACAAAAAAAAAATCATGAAGACAACAACAATCATGATGAAAATTATTAAAAACATAAAGGTGTGAATAGCTCTTGGTTACTTTTCCAAGATCCTAAATAAGTAGGGCTGTATTTTACAAATGATAACTATTTGGCACATATTACAGCAGACCATATTTTAGAAATATGATTGTTAACACAGATGCTAGGAACTAAACTACATAAATCCAGCTTGTCAGGAGTCCCATAAGAAACAACTCTCAGCCACAAGTTCAATTTTTCCTAAGCATGTTTTATGTAGGGTGCAGAAACAATTGGATCAAAATACACAGGGATGTCAAAATATCCTCTGGCAATGTTAATACCAAAAAATTCCACCTACAGAATGAAAGAATGGATTGCCAACTCTCCACGATTGTCCTTGGCTAGGAATTTAAATTCATCTCCTGTGCTCTGCTGCAAGCAATCCTGGAGCAAAATATAGGCGTATTAAAGAATAAATGTCTCGCTTCTGTTAACTCTCTTTGAACATTTGGATTATTAGTTACAAAAACAATAGAGATGTAGGAAAGGTTGCTTGAGGGAAACAACTGGGAGCAAGACATAATATGATGAAACGTCCAGAACTGACAACGTAAAGAGAACATTTTCAAACAAAATCGACAAGAGCTAATGCTGTGCCACATGAAGAGTTTCATTTTCCACTGATGTTCTGCAACATAACCCTACACAAAAACAACAAGAAAAGAAGATGAATTAATGAGTTTGTATTAATGGAGTGTGTATCATTTTTTGTATCTGTTCTGCAGTTTTGCTTCTGTAACAGAACAGGCATGACAACATCTTAAAGCACGGGCTTTTATTTTCATGTGAAGGACTAACTGGAGGGAAGCCAGCAGAACTTTTAGCTACTATTTAATTTCCAGAGCGTAAAAAAGGAGTTATGTCAGAATGGAAATGCTTGAGGATTTTGGCAGGGAGTAAAATAGGATTGAGTTCTAAGTATTTTGAAATGGAAAACTTGATTGAGTATTACAATAATGATTCTCGCAGTAGCTCTCTTTGGAGATGGGGAGTGCCTGGCACTTACGTAGCATGAATATTACCCTGTCGCTTCTCAGCTTATGCCTGAATTTTGTCCAATCCTATGATTGTTAGCCAAGAGCCGATCATGATTGGTCCAAATCATAACCCTCCAGCTGCCAGATCCCCAAGAGCTGGATGGATTGGCTTCAGAAAAGAGTGACAAATCCACATTGCTTCCAGCCAATGAAAGATGTTTTTCCTTGACCTGTAGGTTCTCCCAAGCATTTTGTCGCAACACTCAGTTGCATATTGGCTTCCTGTGGAGTACAGCTCCGCTCACTTCTCATTTTCCCTTCTAAAGGGAGGCAGTGTTTATAATCAGATAAATAACTGTGTCTACTGCAGGTTACGTCGCGTGATATGCTATCAGGAGTTTTGTCCTTGTCCTGCAGCATTCTTCCCAATTTGGAAAAGGGATTTCTGACATAAATAAAGATATCACTTGAGATTTCTCATGGGTCAGCTTCTGTTTCATACAGCAAACGCTAATGTGCTCAACGCTATTGTGAGTAGTAAGCCATAACCTGTTCTTGACATGGTTACAGTGGGGCAGGCTGGAGCAAGATGTAGTGCATATCTCTCCCATCTTTTATCCAAAAACAAATGAACACACATTCCCTCATACACAGGCTCTCAGACATTCCCTCACACACATTCTCGCACACATAAACACACTCACTCTCTTATACATGGTGCCCATTTTACACACGCACACGAAACATTTGATTTTGTTTTGGAATAGTGTGCATATGAACATTCAAATCAAAACGGTAATTTAATAATGAGTTAGATAATTAACTGGAAATAAAGTTGCTAAGAGCATTCCATGTGTAGCACATGAATATGGTATTAGTATTTGACTAAGAATAGTCAAAACATAGAGATAATGAAGTGCGAGAATGACAGAAATAAGGGCAATGTTCCACTAGTCATATTGCAATAGCTACGTGAAGCCTGTCATGCAACTAGAACAATGCTAAGACTATTATAATAAATCAGAGCAAATTATACAGGAGGAAGATAAGAAACTTAACACTCACAGGCCCACCTTCATTCTGCCAAGCTCTGATGAAGATACTTCAATTGTCCATGGAAGAGAATATGATCTAAAAAGAGAATGTGGAGACCTTTAGTGAGTTGCTGCCTGTGTGGGAGAGCTAGAGGGCAGCCCATGGCAGACATGGACTATATCACTCAGAATGCACCTTGGCTGTCAAACCAAATGGACCTACTGACTTTAGCATTCATTTCAGGACAATAAGGATGCAAGAACCAGAACTCTGTCCCAGAGCGGAGCTATCACCTCATGCTGTTTGTGTGCACATTATTTTCAAGGGACGGCCACTTGAGAGAGGGATGGTGCTGCTGTCTGAGCCTAGGTTCCTGAGGGCGTGGGACCCGATGATTATTAGCATCAACACCCCATTCCCCTAGCCCCTGTCTGCAACTATTCCTGCCTCCATTTCGTAGTCTGCAATAATCTTTCTCAATTAAATATCCCCAATATATTTTCTAAAACTCCACATGAATCGGTTAATGAGATCAGTGCTGCTTTCATAGTGTTAAGTGAAGCTGATCAGGCAAACAGTGTCCAATGCCAGAAGACTCCTTGGACATCACGTCTGACCAAATTCAATAAGCAGAGTGATGTTAGGATCTTGTATCTGTTGCAATTAAACAGAGTCCCAAGCAAATTCCATGTTGTAAAGTTTTGTATATGGAGGCCAGAATTTATCTAAAGATTGTCAGTTGACAATTTGTAATTAGTTTTAAGATAGTTTATAAAGAAGCTGCTGTTTAGATCTGATACAATAGCTAAACAGATAAGAAAATTGCAGTTGACGGGCAGTTCTCTCATTCCCGGGGATAAGCTGATGGGAGTCATAGTGCATGCTGATCTCAATAGCTTGAGAAGGCAATATTTAACCATAATTGAATGTAAGCCCAATTTCTTACAGTGCATGAAATAAATTTCGTACAAATCTCAGTAGATGTGATTTAATTTATTTCTATTCAATACTATGTTCCAGGTTTCCGAAGCTTTCCCAAGTTGATGCCAATTTGCAATCAGGTGAAATACACAATCTTCTAAACACTAATGCTACTTGATCTCAAATCTGAAACAATTTTTGCAAAGCAGACCATTAATGTATTCACATCTCAAAACAATGGCAAGTGACTTAGACCAGATGAAAAGGATTCCAATTGTTGCTTTAGTCCCTTTTAATCTGATAGTATAGAATTGTGTGTAATTATTTCCTTACAACTCAGTACGTTTTCTCTGAGTGAACTGATGTTACATTTTTTCATGGGATGTCATTATCACTGGCTAGGCTAACAGTTATTGCTTTCCCTGTTTGCCTGTTGTCAATTTTGTCAAGCTTCATTGATGGCTTCTATCCGTGAGCTCCAGTGAGATTTCTAAGCTATTTTTTGAAACTCGACTCATTATCTCCTAACTACGTATCTATGGCACCAGCTCATCATTTCTTTACTGTCATCAGTACTTGCCATTGCCAGGACCTCCTGCAATTCCTGGCACCATTTTTAAAACCTAGTCATGTACCAGGTGAGGTGCTACCAGTCAGGAGCTGCTCTTCACAGTGCACTTAGTGGGAAGGGAGCCAAAAGGTAACAGTTCCGAGGGCACGGTTGACGCTTTACTGGAAACACCACGTGCACATTTGTAATTGTATTGGTGTTTAAGAATGAAGCTGGACAGGTTACCCACCCTTACCCTCAATCCTGTTGGAGAACCCTGTCTGAGAGACTATTACTGCTTCCCCAATGCCCATTGTAGCTTAACATTTTCTCAATGTGGGGCTATCATGTACTGCAAGGCTGTCAAACTATTGTAAACCTTCACTTTTATTCAGCGACATAGTAGAGTAAATAAACAAACAGAAGCTCCACTTACTTCTGAGCACAGACAGAGGCTAAGCAGCGACATATTGACAGTCAATGAGTGATCACTGCACCCAGCTCTCATCTACTGAAACTAGGTACCGATTAAGACCTGTCTGGCTTGTTGTTCCTGATGCTGCTACATTCTATCATGTTTAAGTTGATGTTCCTCCTGCTCAATGTCCTCATCTTCATTCTCGGAAGACTGCTGCTGCCCTCACAGTTCTTCAGCATCTGTCTGAACCCCTGTTGACCGGCTCCAATTGTGTAGAACATAGCATGCAAGCATTGGGTGGCACATTCTGTCTGACTCTGTGGCAACACACCCCACACCTAAACAAGCATCAGAGCCTCACCTTCAGCAGACCTATCGTCTGTTCCACCATAGCCCTGGTCAAGGAATGAGATGAATTGTACCTACACTCAGCATCAGTCAGGGAATTTTGTAATAGAGTCATCAGCCATAGTTGCCAAGGGTCATCCTTGTCTCCCACTTACGATATTCTTAAGGTATCCAGCTCGTTCGCAGAGATCTCCAGACAGTGAGACATTGAGGAGTCTAACACAGAGGGCCATGGGCTATACATCAATATGGACCTATGATTAAGGAAGCTTATTTTGATGAGTACAGCATAAGTAACATCGCACAAATACAGAAGGAAATAGTAAGTGCTGTATGATTACTAATATGTTGCTCCCCCCAACATAACACATCACTCAAGGAAGGTGGCATTGCATAGCAGAGCATGGTGGTGAATGCTTACATTTCAAGGTGAGAGCAAATCAATTCCATGTCCCGTGCAGCCTCTGAGATTTTGCACCGTCTTTATCAATAGTGGCCCACAGGTGCCATGCTTAAGATTGCCTGTGATCATTTTGCTTCACAGAGATGACTAACTTCAATCTACAATGACCAAAGACATGGTCCTTGTGACCAATGTTCTCTCTAAGATGCTAGGAGGGTCTGTGTTTGCCGTTGTTGTGCTGACAAGGGTCTATACATGTCGATTGGCATATTGTAACCAATCCATACTGTAAGTGAGTCAGAGGTGTCCGTGGGCTGTGTGTGTGTGTGTGTGTGTGTGTGTGTGTGTGCGCGTGTTCGGGGAGGGGGGAGAAGCAGGGCGGTGGAAGGATTTATGATGGAGATGGTATGTGCCTGATTCCCACAGTCAGGGCACTCTCTGCACAAGCAGCATGCTTTGAAGATATTGGTGACTGTGGTCTGATATGTCCAGGAGGAGCCAGCAGAATCTGGAGTGGCCAGGTAACTACTCTGATTATATGTCAGGAACTATCGACATCTACTTTCTGTCTGGTGGGTGGGAGAGTGAGACACTGCCTATAAATGAGGTGCGACTTTGTAATAATGGCAACCAAATACATTCAAATTGATGCAAATAAAGCCTCTTACTGCTCGCAAGTGAGGTTCTCACGTCTCTGTTCAACGTTTGGCTGGAAAATTGGGACAGTTCTTCTTTATTGCTGCCAATCTCATCCTCTTTTCCCAACAGTCTCACCAATGGCCATGTTGTTCAGGGGCTGGGAAGGTTCTGCCCAGTGTGTCTTTTATCAGCAAATCTCATGCTTTTGAATTATTGTCCAGTAAAATTTCAAGATCCCAAAATAAACCTCTGCAACAAGATCTATTTATCATTCCTGTAAAGTCGTGTCCTGTTGTTTGAAATCATGCTGGCTCTGTTGCCCATTCAGGGTCTTTCATTCAGACATTCCTTCATCAGAAATTACTACCCATCGGTGCTAAGGCTGGACAAATTATTTCTGCTCCAAAATCTTTTCAGATAATAAACAATTCCATTGCACGCTTTGAGCTGCACATTTCCACTTAGGTATCAGTAGTGCATTAGCAGGATGAAAAGTTTGTCAAATGTACCACTGCCTAAGAAAAGGTGCTTAAATGACCTGACAAGCAAAGATCAAAAGAAAGAAAATAAGTGAGTCACATTTTAAGAAGAAGCAGTGTTAACATTACATATTTTGTGCCACATTGTACTTGACATAATTCATAATTCATTCATTCTGAATTCTAGTGTCATAAATGCAAATAATCACCTCCTTATTATTTTAGACTGATACACCAATTTGCTGCGTACAGCAACAATGTGTTGCCTTCTGTGGCAAATCCTTGTAGATGAATATACTCAGAACAATCACTGTCAATGGCAACAAGAAACTTAACAGTGACCTCTGTTGTTGGAAAAATAATGATTCAATATTTCACTGGGCACAGAACAAGGGTTACTAATACCCAGGAAAATTACTGAATCCCCAGACTATTGGATGTATGCACAGTAGAAAGCAACCTTCATAAAAAAATAAGTAAATATAAAGCAATCATCCATCTCTGGTTTTACTGGAAATCAGGTTTCTGAATATATCAGTTCAAGCCCCACTTGGGGAGTTAAGTTGATAATATTGGCTGAAACTCCAGCGTTGCAAGGAGGGAGCAAATGTATTGTAAGAGATGCTCTCTACTGATGAGAAATTAAATTATCTTGCCCTTTGGATAGATATTACACCACGCTATCCAAAGGAAAGTAGTGAATTCTCCTTGTGTCCCGTCTAAACAAGGACACGAATGATGTTGATTGATGATCGCCTCATTTCAGAGGGTTTGGGGTGTGCACAAAATGGCTGCCACACTTATTCTCATAAAAACAACTAAATGAATTCATTGCATTTGCTTGCTTTAGGCCACTCCCAGGTGCCAAATAGATAGAGACCTTTCATTTTAGTTCCTTATAAACACCGACTTACTTATTAAAATTGTCAATAGGACTTAGTTCAGCCCCAGTACATATTTCAGGGGCCCTTGGATTGACTGTACTGAACTGCTGAAAGCTGGCCAAAGTCACTGTGAGTTAACGGAGGAAGTGGTCACTTTGGAACAGCTTTATGGGAAGAGACAACTTGCGCTTGCTTTAATAATTTATGACAGGCTATCACATTTTCCCTGCAAAGCCCTTTACTTTTGCGTGATATTTCTGCAGTGAACATGATTTTGTATATGAAACCATAAATCCAACAGCATCTTTGATTTACAATCATTGTAGGTTCTGACAGCATCAATTTCAAATTATATGCACTATCCTTCAGATCTACATTACTCAGTCGTGTTAAAGTGAGAGTATCAGATTGCCAATTAAAGGGACTGGGATCAAACAACAGCCTCAATTCAGTTACTCTTGATTAGTTCAATCATTTCTCACTAAGTAGGTAACCTCAGGATGGAAAGTTCTTCCCATCAGTCAATGAGTGGACAAGGAAGGAAAACCCAGCAGTGAGACGTGACCCCACCGGATACAGTAAGTAATGTCTAGCATCAGCTGAACATCACTGGCAGTATTCACAAAATCATCTGTGCCCCAAAACCTCTTAGTTAGAGGAGGACATACAGAATTAGAATTGTAGAAAAAGGAGTTAAAAAGCTGGAAAGATGAAGAATGAGACAAGTGCAGATAATTTATTTCTGCTCGAAAAAAATTATGTTAGCTGACAGCCTCCAGCTTCCCCCAAGTTAGACTGAGGGCAAGAGTTTCATAACTGGTAGGTGTAGCGATCATAAACCTGTGCTTTTCAAATGAGTTTCAGATTTCACTGCACTTAGTTTGAAGCAAAAGCCTCCTCACTTTGACTCTCAGTGTTTGGCTCACTTAAATGGAAGGCAGTGCCTGAAAATTAAAGCAACGTCTACATTACACTATAAATGTACAGTTTATTCCACAACTGAGGGTGTTGCAATAAAATCACAAAGCAGGGCTCAGAATCATTAAAACTTCTTTGTATTCAGTGTTTAGTTTGACTTGTTAAAATTTCAAAAATCATTTACAGTCATAGCTAAATTTATGACAGTCTTGGAGGCGATCAATACATAAATAGTCTTGAAACTTCCTTCTATGAAATGACTGCTCGGTATTTCAACATGCTGCAGTAGTAGAGCATTGATGTGCCGTGAGAACTGTCTGGTTGTGCTGTGAAATTTTGTACAAAAGTGAGGAAAATCAATCTTAAACAAACACTAGTTTACCATAAACAATATTCTATCCAACCAAAATTACAACTTATAAAACTGGTGAAAATTAATCAGCAAATTAAAAGCGAGAAAAATCAGTCTTTCAATTCTAAAATGCCAACATTCTAAATGCAGGTGGCCAAAGGATGAAATTGGGATCTTGTGATACTTTTTACTCGTAGCCTTAGAAATCAAGGAAAGGCGTTCATGTGTTTTTTTGTTGTGGACTGTACAATGAAGCTGAAGTTTAGAGAAGTGTCTTTGTACGTGTTTCCGTGGTACATGAATACCCAATGATTTCTAACCCTTGCTGCACTCTCGCCATTTATGACAACAATTTGGAGGGCCAAAAGGCCTGTTCCTGTGCTGTAATTTTCTTTGTTCTTTGTTCTTTGCACCCCTGCAAGTTCGAATCTGCAACACTAACACAATAGAACAAGAGTTCTGGGTGTCCCTCTCATCACTTACCCCTCTGGATCAAAATACTCTGCATACACTGCCCACTCAGTTTACTCACTAACTCAGTGAATTGCAATTTACTTTGTGTTTTGTTCTGATCCATTGAATTTCAATTCTGTATCAGTTCAATTATTCAATAAGAATTATACTGTTATAAAGATTACAGATACGAAATGTCATCTGTGAAACTCAGATCCCTGAACTGAATGCAGTGCACGGAACAGATTTAACATCATGAGTAGTTAGAACTAGCTCAGTTGAACAAGTTTTGAAAGTGTGTCCGTCCTCACAGTTAAAACAAGTGGTGCTGGATTTGAAACATTAATGCATTTGATCTTTCTTTAACTTGCTGCATGCACTATGTTGCAGACCTCTCCAGTAAGACTGTAACCAGAGTAAATGCAACTAAATGCAATGTTTATAGGTAATCAATTCAGCTGAAGAAAGTGGCTGTGGAATTATTTGTCTCTTTGACATGTGCCATGTTACTGAAAAAGACAGGAACTGTTGACTTAGAAAGCTCGCAAGATTGCATGTCAATAAGTTTGTTAAGAATTGATTTGTGAGCATCTGGGCCAATCACTGGCCTCGACAGTGGGGTCCTGTCTACGTGAAGCTGCCAGCCATTTAGATTCCAGGAGCTTCTGGGTCCTAAAGACCATCAGTTTATTGCCAGTCATCAAGAATTCCAATGGGCAACCAGTTGACCTAGCTAGCCAGTCGGTAAAATAGCCACTTTACCCGCCTGAGAGCAGGTAGATGATCGGCCAGTGGTTAGGTGAGATTGTTAAGGGTGTTAATTGCTGCAGAGTCAAGAGAGTTCTCAATATACCACTTGGCCCAGCACTTAACTGTTGAGGGGAGTTCAAAGGTAACAGAATCAAAGATATGCTGGAACCATAATCATGAAAGGCAACTTTCAGAAAGAGAGTTGCTGACAACGATATTCTCTCCAGTACTGTGATGAATGCAGCCTGCTGGCACTCCTTCCTTACCACCTCCCATTATAACAGAAGAAAATGACAAAGAGAGAAGCAAAAGGGGCAAGGGAAACATAAGGAGAAAGGACAGGTAAGAGAGCTAAAGGACCAGAGGAAAGACAGAAACAGAAACAACAGCATAAAATCAGAACAGACACTGTAAACAGATTGAGACCATGACATTAAAATGCAGTGGTGGTGGGAGCACAAAACAGATTGTATTGAATAGGTCACCCATGACTGGGAGCTCTGGGTTCAAGTTGTGCCAGCTCCAGAGGTGTGTAATAACGTCTCTGAGCAGGTTGATTAGAAAAATAGGTGAAATATAAAAAAAAAGCAATGATTGTGCCTAAAGTGTAAAAAGCATCTTTTTATTTTTCTCAATTTTTAAAATTGTAGACTGAGATGGTAAAAGGACTGATTTAACACTAGTAACCAAATTAATTCACAAGGAGTGAACCCAATCAATGAATGACTACATATCCTTCTTCATTGTTTTTATTCTGCACCCTACATTTTAAAGATCTGTGCAAGCTCCTTTTTCTTTTGAAACATGACTGCTATTCTTAAGTTGGAAAAAAATTACTTGAAATTTTAAAAACAGGTTTACTGGAACTCATTGTGAGCTGTGTTTACACTGCTGCTTTGTTCAAGCAATGGAGGAGGAGAAATAAAACACAGGGCACTGAGGTATGTCATCATAGTAAGATTTGGGCAGCAACAGATGGCTGATTCATTTGTGTAGCTGTGACCATTCATTGCTGCTGGAAATCATCAGCCTAACAACTACTGTCTGATTGGCTTGTGAGATATTGTATTATGATTCACTTTACTAATTCGCTCACAAACACTCTATGTTTACTAAACTGCATTTCCATTCATTCATACATAAAACTGCATTTTTGTGGTACCTTTTACTCTTACAAGATAAACTAAATTAAACATCCCTTCCTTGGCTGCCAACCCATTACCGTTTCTTTGCACCTTTCGATTCTTATCAGCCCACACTGCAAGCAGTGTTTAGACCTGTTTTTGTATCAAAGGCTACTCCTGAATAAGAATTAATACCGTAACCTACTCAGGACAATGCCATTCCTGCCATTGTTTCTCCATATCCCACTCAAGCCTATGGAAAGATTATGATATTAATTAGCTCTTCGTAACTATCTCTTGGGCCCTGAATAGGCTGCAGGACATCAGTTTCCTCTACCAGCATGTCCTTACAGTCTGTTGCTTTTCATCTCTTTGAAATTTCCTTGTACCATACCTATTTCTATAACACTGTACTATCTATTTCTAACTTTTATTTAGGACTACCATCTTGTACTAACATACAGATTTATACTTTTAAA